TTAGTCTTGGTAATGTATCTCTTAATTATGTGAATAACTTTTAGGTTATTATAATACCTACTTCTGGGTGATTGATTTGCGACCAGGCCTGCATATGAATTCGCCAAGGTTGTAAGCCAGTGAGCCCGTGCATTTTTGTTAAGCGGTCATATTTGAAAATCTAAATAAAGGAAAGGRAAAACCCGCAGCTCTCYTTTCACTCAGATAAACAGTACAAGTCGTGTTAAATTTATTTACATAACWAAACAAAATGATTATARAATTTAACCTTTAAGAATTGAATGCTCATATGAAACATTTTCCACCTTAAATACACACGTGTTTTTCAGATGGGAATTTAGTCGAACTTTTTCCACGATGGAATTTTGTTTTGAGTCGTATCGACATAAACAGTCGCTATCAAGACATTACACGAAAAACCGCAGTCACCGTTCTAGCTCTCGTTGTAAGGTCAAAGCTAGTAAATGTGTAACCGAACTGTTACATAACGTCAACTCGTTGTGTCGTCGAGGATGCTTGCGGGTTATTGCCAAAAATGCGACAAAGGATGAACTACGACAGTTGTTTGTATGAAACMTAACAAACGCTTTAACTCTATTGGAATACATGGAGCTAAGCTGCTCTAGCTCTTTCAGTGATGTTGTAGATACCTCAAAAGCTTTGAGGAAACAAGAGCTAAGAAAAAGGATTTGCAATGGTTCCTCCATAAGATACTTTGGACTTGAACGTCGCTTCAACGACCTTCTGAAGTCTTCGTGAAGTCGGCCATTGTTTCGCGTGCAATGGAGAACCCGCGTAGAACACAGACTAATTATTTTTAGCAGGGAGGGGAGTCCCTTGGTATTAAAGAAAAAATTCTTTGCTATTTCATTTTTAAGATAAAATTCTATTTCTATAACGATAAATATTTGATTGACATTTAATAAAAGCTATTTTATAAAGATTTTCAATTTCTCTTTGCGTTTAGCTTTGATTTTTCGGATAGAATAAAATGGCAGGCAGCCTACTCCACTGGGTCGAGTTTTGTTGTGCAAATTCCTCCCGTCGGGGGGTTATGTTTACAACATAAGCTTGTCAGCTTTGCGGTGATTGGCTAGTCGCATTTTCTCAAATCACCCAGTTCTAAATGTTAGCTCTCTAAAAAAAATCACCCCCCTAAAAAAATCCTGGATCCTCCCCTGGAACGTCACCTCGTGTGGTGAATATTTATAGCTAGCGCACGAAGTGCATGACGGTACAAGTGACGTATATAATTTTTGACGGCGAAAACAAAGAAATCCATTGTTTTAGCAGCGAAAGCAATGCATTGTGGGTGGATAACATCAAGATCAGCTCTGATTTTTCCATATTTTCTGAATTAGGATCGATTCAGGCGCTCTACGCTGTGGCAGCAAAGAAACAACAAATAATATTTGTATTGCATCACGCTGAATCGACCTAAAAAGAAACAAAGAAGTATAATTTTTGACGGAGAAAACAAAGAAATCCATTCTTTCAGCAGCGAAAGCAATGGTTTGTGGGTGTATAACATCAATATCAGCTCTGACCTTTCCGTATGTTTATGTACCGAAACTCCAGACATATATTTTCTGAATTAGGATTGCTGCTTTGCTTCGCGCGCTTCAGGTGCGCTACGCTGAGACAGCAAATAGAAGAAAAGTTTTCATTGATTAATCAAATTGTGACTTATTTAGTCTGAAAAGGTTACTCCCAACGAGTGAAATTTGTCTATTTTTTAACTCGCTCGCTCCGCACTAAAAATGCCTGTATAGTTCTGATTTTTACATATGTGTAAAAATCGTTCGAGACTTTAATTTGATGTCCAACACCAGCCAATAGTCAAACGACAGTGATCTAACGCACGCCGGGATATTTTGGCGTAGCTAATCAATTGCACGGATAAAGAGGAGATCTGCAGTCAATCAGCCAATCAAAAACGAGCATTTTACATTAGTGTGATATTATTTTATTCAATAGGACTTTATGCTGTCAAATAGTCTCCTTCACGGTTACCTGCGCCATCTTGAAAGGTAGCCGTGCCTTGTCATCGAAGCGAGACAACCGTTGAGCGTGCAATGATAGAAACCTTCTTTCACACCAACAGACAATTATTCACAGGTATCTATCATTGCACGCTCAACGGTCGTCTCGCTTCGGTGCAAAGGCACGGCTACCTTTCAAGATGGCGCAGGTATCCGTGAAGGAGAATATTGAGAAATAATTGGACGAGGAAAATTCTGAAGACTAACAAAATTGGACGAGGTCGTATTATTAAGGACTGTTCAATTAAGTAAGTATTTGAACAGGTTTCCTATTGAGGATTAATAAGTACAGAAATAATTAGATATTGTAATAAACAAATAATACACGAATATGCCCATACTATGAGAAAAAACTATTTACACTATGAACAGGGCGCAATCTTATGATAAATGCTCGGTAAATATTCATTGATAATCACTTCGCCTTCGGCGAATAATTGTTAAATATTATGCGCCATCACAAAGAAAATATTACTGGTTACCATAATGATACGTTTTAGTAACTTTTAGAATCTTAAAACATTAAGACACAACGGATGCTCATTATAGAGTGTCGACTGGYGATGTCTATATCTAAGACAATTATGCGTGAATATATATGTATACATATGTTAGTGTACATCACTAACCTTGAAACGATAACAGAAATAACGAGATCTTGAATTCCTAGCTTTTCAAATTGCATTTTACAACGCGTTGCAGTCATTTAGCAAAATGCTTTATCAGCCGATCCGATAAGTAGGCTCCATCTCAATTAGAAAAAAAGGAGAAAAAATGCTATTCGATCCTTCAGAGCAATTGCATAGTATTTTTGCCTATATTTACATTCGAATATTRTTCTTAGTTTTCCCTATTGTTTCTTTCTGCTGGCGCTGTATCGTATCACAGATTGCGGTGTGCATTTTTAACTCGAAGATTGCGTTGTCACTCACTAAGTCACAATCAATCATTTGGTTTCCTGTGTCATAAAAGATAAAACTGCTAAGGAGCGAAATGTCGTGATTCTTTTGCGTAAAATGTACAAATTGAAAGAAGTTTTTAAAGCGGTTTCCGCTTCGAGTATGTGTCGACGGTTAGAAAGATTCAGGGWAACGGATCCAGGGAAACGTAAGCTTAATACATGAAGCTTCTCGACTCCTAATTGATAAACKTCGGCCAAATTTGACAAACTACTTCAAGCAAATGGTTGTGAATATGCCCTTTGGACCTTCATATAAGCTATCAAAGTGCTGCAATTTACTATTTTGTGTATAATTATAATTTGATTCGTTGTGTTGTTGTATTCATAAATCGTTTATTAAAATTCTAATTGTTAAGGTTTTTCGATCGTAATAAATAGCGTTTAATTCGCGCGTATTTTTAAACTCCAACTAAGTCGCAAATTTCGATTCAATTGCACTCAAACTTTCACAGAAGTCAAACTGATTATCGATAATTCTTTTTGATAAATTAATTTGCCAAAAAGCGAAGCCATTTGGATAAACGATGCAAAATAWAAACATCAATGTTACAATTTTGTAACATTCTACTAGGGATAAGTAATTTCTTGTTGTTGAAAGATTGGCCAGCCTAATAATTTGCATCTGTCTTCATATGACATGTCCCCCCTTTTCTGTCGGAGAGCAATAAAGAGATCGAAACTTGCGTAAAAATACTATAAGATGGTTACATTACATAAATGCGAAAAATAGGATAAAATATGAACAAGGTGAATCGACGATAATTACTTCAGGCAGATAACAATATAAGACAAGAACCACTTCGTGGAACATACCGTGTCCAGGTTACGCTAATATACAAGCTCCTCGATCGATTTGATAGATTTTGCGTATGATCTTTCCATARATTTTTTTCAATATTTTTATCGTTGAGCGAAAATTTAGTATTCATATTGCATTGGCATTATCCTCAGAGAATTTATAAGATGAAAGTTTAATTTGCATAAAGTGATTTAAGAAAGAAAAAAAGAACGAGTATATTTGAAAGTTAAAAAAAGAAAAAAAAATTGTTTAGAAGCTGCTCGAGTCGAAAATCGACTATTCAACTATGATCTTGCGTGTAAAATATGTAAAAYAAATATCTACATAGAGGGGGGAGTGACCTGGGAAATAACGTCCTAACGGCTGCGAGAGGAGACTAATATCTACAGGAAAAATAAGAATAAGTATATTTCAGTAAAAAAAAGAAGGAAAGAAAAAAGAATCGCTTAGAAGTGATCGAGTCAATCTGTGTGATCCTAAGCTATTCGAGTACGATAGTCTTTGTAAAAAATAAAATAATAGCTCGAAAATAATTGTTAAACGAATACCTACAGAAAAAAATCAACATGACTATARCAACTTCTTTTCAGTTAAAGCTGTTCGAGTATCATCTAAGTTTCTAAAATTCAACAAACGCGGCTCGTAAATATCAATAAAACAAATTGCTACGATAAAAATCTAACATGACTAGAACACATATTTCAGTTAGAAAAAAGAAAGCAAGAAAAAAAAAAGAATTTTTCAGACGTGCTCCAGTCGAGGATCGAACCTTGAAACTCTGGATTATGGTTCCAGAATAAAAGTAAAAATAAAGTCGCTGCATTTTATAACCGTGCCGGTAAAAAGTCTAGCAATATTAACAATATTCCTATGAACTATGATACTCATTAAAATCATCAGATCGTCAATTGTATAAACAAACCTAAAATTGAACAAACTAYAAAAACGTAAATACGGCAATAGAGCCGGCTTCAGGAATTACCTAATACAGAATAYCCCAAATGTTTGATATTTCCAAGAATGGAAGTTGACATGGCTGATTTTTTATCCCTGGAACAACTGTCTTATCAATACCATCCATGAATTATCGTGTGAACGTTTGTGTGAAGATATAACAGGCATTGTAGTTATCGTTGTGTCAAGTTTTTATCTGCAACTGTTTCATGTTTTTCTCTTTCATATAGATTGATGCGAACAATCATGGCTGTACTTGTATTGTGATAGAATTTGAAAACTTGCAGTTGATCATTTCCTTGCAGGCTTTCCTAATATCTCGGTTCATGAAACCATAAATGARGGGGTTTATCAAACAGCCCAACAGTGGCAATGATTGAAGCAGTGGTTCTGCCGTGATCTTTGAATCACTATTTTGTATTACCATGGTGAGCAGGAGCAATGGTATAATGCTAGTGAAGAGAAGTCCCACAGCAATATATGTTGCCATTTTGGCAGCCTTACGCTCTGAACTGGTCAAGGTTGTTACGTTTGCTTGCTCACTTTGTGCTTGAATTTGACGATTGCGCTTTGAGATCACTCTCCAAATAGAGACTGCGAAGATAGAGGTTGAAATAATGCATATGGCAAACGGAAGCACTACAAGAAACCTTCCCGCTTCAGAAAAAACGCGGATGACTGTCAGCAAAAACCCTGTTAGGATGGACACGAGTGCAGTGGTCAATATACGCCTTGCTGTGACGTTGACACGGTGCCAGTAAGGGAATTGAAGAGCGACGTATTTCTCTAAGTTCATACCAGCAACTATGATGTCAGATACGATCGATGCACTTAGGGCAAGTCCTACCAAAACAGGACATTTCGGGTCGTGTTCCATTTGGTAATTGATTTCCTTCGAAATGAAAAACGCGCCACCAATTCCAGCTTTGACCAGATCGTTTGCTGCCATAATACCAATCATGACATTGCTTTGGGTTCTTAGAGATGGTTTCTTATAGAATGCTAAAAGAACCAAAGAGTTGAGAACAACAGCAAAAGGACAAGCGGCTCCAGTCGTTATTACAGCTGCGAGGGAAGCTTTGAGAGAGGCAGGCGTTGCCAAATGTGGATTTTTTAATTCTCCAATGGAGTTGCAGATACTAAGAGAAAATTGTTTGTTGTTGAATGCAGACGTGTTGTTAAAATTAGCAGACTGCATTTTCGGATGAAACAGTGTACTCTTTGAAGGGCAAGTTGTACTGATAAAAAACACCTTTGATTTCGTTAATATCCTCGTTTTTGGAATTGTTGTATGAATGAATCAGGAAATGTTGTTGACCAATTGTATTCAAAGCAAAGCCGAAAACGAACAAAGCTGGTAATGAACTTCCTCCATACAGTTTAATCATCCAAATCATCCAAAGCGATCAACATTTTCTTGTTAATTGGAGGTGAATTTGGCAAGAATTGGCGTCTTTCTTTGCTTAGATCTGTGTATGTGCATTTCAACTATCAATCAGAAAATAGAAAACATGACTTACAGCTAAAGATGTAGTTATAACTCTGAAACTGACCATTAGAACAATAGATATTGAACAAATGTTTATACCGTTCATTATAGCTTCATTTGTTCTTTTAGTTTTATTTGATTATTAACATGTTTTTTAATTTTTTAATTTTTCAGTTTTTGACATATTTTGCGTTAAAAGCTGACATTTATTCTTCAGATCGAAAGCCCCAAAAAATCAATGCGCTTTTCCGGGATTTTGTAAAAGATTAAACCGAAATTCCGAGGAATAACGATAAARCTAACAATAATAATAAAAAAAATCAATATTCAGCAAATTTCGATTCAATTGCACTCAAACTTTCACAGARGTCACAGTGATTATCGATAATTCTTGTTGATAAATTAATTTGCCAAAAAGCGAAGCCATTTGGATAAACGATGCAAAATAAAAACACCTTCATTTTTCTTCAAAATTAATTTTCTCGAAACTCATCGCAGAGATTGTAATAAAATTTTCAGAATCATTTCTTAATAACATAACATTGATATACTGACGAAGTTTCAATAAAATCTTAACCTAAAATTTCGAGTTGATTGAGCAAAATGATGTACATTCGAACAACTCGAAATTTTAGGTTAAGATTTTTTTAAGGTTTAACACCTTAAGGACTCGGAAATTCAAAAAAATATTTGCCTAAACATGTTATATTTCTGTCCTTACTCACAGAGAAAATCATTTTTTGAGTGCTTTGGAGAGATGTAACCTTTTTGAACAAGACTACGTTTTGTCAATCAAGTTAATCATGTTAAAATGTGTCGAAGATAAGATGGAAAGGCAGCATGAAAGGCAAATAATGACTTAAAGGTCGACACTAATGAAGAATCGAGATAAACTTTAAATTGATTTAATTTAAGTTTTACTTTTTTCAAGTTTTAAAAGAACAAGGGTAGTTTTAAGGCAGAAATAGTCATTGACTTTGAAGCAAAAAATAAAAAATAAAAATGCAACAAAAGAACAAAACAAACCATAGCAAAGTAAACGACAACAACAACAACAGCACAACAAATAAATAAATAAAACAAAACGAAATAAACAAATAAAGTAGAAATCTTAGATTCGTACTATCAGTAATTCCTACCAATCATTCCTACCAATCGTTTGCAGACCAACCTTAAGTCATCAATAAGTTTTAAGATTCTGTGTAGTAGATAGTAGAAAATACTGATAATGTGGAAAAGTTGAACGACAGGACCGTAGGCTGAACCCCCCACAAGCTTAAAAGGTCCGGTGTTTCCCTGTTTTTTTCTATTTTTGATTTCTTTTGTTATGAACCGTTTTTGTATTTTTTTATGAACTGCTCATACAACCAGCCAGTTCTTACACATAATACCGCAAATGATCTAATAAACGCCCCCCTTTCTAATGAACACATCCTATCTAATGAACGCCTCCCCCGATGCTTAGACGTTTGTATTAAACGCCGCTCTCTAACAAACACCCACCCCGCCTCCCCTTCCTCTCCATGCCACCATCCAACACTACAAACAAACGACTTAGGAATTCCGGTAAATTAAATAAATTTAATTGTCTTCTTGCTTCATTAACAGCGGTAAGTGAGTAACGTCTTGTTAAATTTCTTGTTCAAAATGAGGATAGCGTTCTTTAATTCTTCTGATTTCATTGCTTAGTATATCAGCAATTTTCTTGCGTTTTGTCGTAGCAGTGTAGCTCCCAGGAACTACAAGGTATACTTCCGTTTGTCTAGAAGTTATAAATCAYAACATGCGGTACATTAAATTGTTACAGTTTTATTTTAGAATAAACGCCTCTCTCTAAAACGCCTCCTGTCTATTAAACGCCCCCCCTTGGACCATTGACATTTTATAAACGCCCCTGCAGATAATTAACGGTACTGTAGCTTCTTCATTGTAAATTATATTATATGGCAAATGAATTAAATAAAACATAATCAAATGACTGATCTTCAGTAAGAGACTTCTGTTGACTGCTAACACATAGCACAGTTTGTAATAATGCTGTTTGCTCTTAAAACCTGCTGTAGTTTTCTCTCTGTATTCCGCGATTTTAAGCGAGAGAAAACAATAATAGGTTTTTACTAGAACAGTGATTATTTCAAGCAAACAAGCGTTGTAATTAAAGCTGACAGGTACACTAAATGGAGTCTGAAGAGAGCGATGGAAGTACCATTAAGATATTTAAAATGAAATCTGATAATCATGAAGACGTTTTAATGAGTTCATTAACGCTTTCAATCTTTCATTAATGTTTTTGTTCAATTAAAAAAACKAAAGGGCGAACTCAATACGGTGYTTATTTACTCAATACAAGAACATTGCTATGCTATAACAATTCCAGAAAAACTTCATTAATCCTTGAAAGTCTTCTTGGAAAAATCTTTCCATGTGGTTGTGTATGCGTTTGTTCTCATTCGGAATTGTGTTTTGCTGTTGAGTCATTGCAAGCATTGATCGATCTAAAAAATGACGAATTTTAGAGGAGAGGTGATATTTTATGTAATCGAAAAAATACATTTTTACATTTGATATTTGAAACCGATCCCACACAAAAGTCGCATAATACCATCAGTTTCAGTGGCGGATCCAGGGCTAGAAAACGGGGTATATAAGCTGCACCCGTTTTTATTTAACTCAAATAAAAAAGTTTTATAATCTTCATTCAAACGAACAACACTAGACATATATTAAAAGCAAAGAAGTAAAAAATCTGGATCCCGTTTTCAAAAATCTTAGATCCGCCACTGAGTTTTGTTCAAGTATTTAACCCCCCCATTCACAGTTTCTATTGTTCTTGTATTTGTAATTCAAACCTCAGTCCCAAATTCCCATTAAAAAAACATACATTAATCAAAGCATCTTTTCACCTCTCCAGAACGTCATAATTCGAGGTACTTTTCATGAAAAGGACTCCAGAAAACTACGATTCGATATTATTATATTATATTCGATACAGCCTTTTGCAAAAATTATGAGAATTGTCTAAATATCTAAATATCATAATATCCATATCCACATATTGTCCGGAACACGCGGGTTTGCTAGAATAATTCATTGTTGACATCGAGAAAATGTTCAGAACTACGGATAAGTCTGTCGCCAAAAATAATAAACAACAAAAACAAGGGACTAAGGCCATCGCGCGGGATCATGCACTTGATATTATGATATTTAGATATTTCAACAATTCTCATAATTTTTGCAAAAGGCTGTATTATAATTATATATTAAATTAGTATATTGGTCCTAACATCAGTGTGGATAAAAACAAAATTACGAAAATATGGAAGGAATTTAAGGGAATAGTCCTGTGATATTTTCGGCTGAGATAATAAATGTTAAAAGGTGAAAGAGAATTATTAATTATTAAGTGGATACTAAGTATATAAAAATAATCCAGGATTTCGCTTTTTTGCGTTTTTGAAGGACAGGTTGCCATTCACCTCCAATCTTTGTAATTCGCACAGTAAAAAATTGGTTGTCAATTAATAGTAATTTATAATTAAAGCAGCTGTTTTTTAGATTAAAAAAGAAGAGTCTTCATTTTTTTAATGTGATGCAATACGCATGCTCACAATTGATGGTTATCTTCATTGACGACAATCTCGTTCCAGAGCCCGCGTTCCTCTTGGCCTGAGGGCGCGAGCAACCACGAACTCTGGCCTAATCCATATTTTTCATCAGATTTTCTGGTGTTCCGGTTAAATTGCGCATGCGTATCAAAAAGAAAAATGGCGGAAAATTTGTTTTATAGTTCGCTAGACCACGGTCTATCGGCTATAGGAATGCCAAATTTAGCTTTGAAAACCAAACAATTTCAAATTTTAGAAAGTGTTGTTATGTTGGCCGGTAAAGACATTTGAAATTTTGATTTTTTTCGCTAATACTAACGAGATTTGTGGCGCATAGTCTACATAAATATACAGAGAAGCCGTTSTCTTCATGTATGTTATCTACTGAGCATATATCTTGCAAAGACGTTAAAACGCCCTCTCTCTTCGACTTGTTTCCAAACAAATCTACTTTGTAGCGATCTAAAAGTTTATTGCAAAGTCTACAAGTATTATAAACTTGCTGCGTCGCCGCTTTCTTCGGAGAAGACATTGCTACACTCTGTTGCTACACTTTACAATTAATTTTTGTTTAAAATTTTGCAACATCTTCAGTGGGGCTAGCCCGAATTTTGGCGCTGTTTTTCGCAACTATGATTGGTAAAATGYTACTTCCGGAGACGTCCGCATTCGTAATGAGGAAATTTTATCGACCAATGAAAAGCGCGCAAAATATGGATTAGGCCAGAATTCGTGGTTGCTCGCGCCCTCAGGCCAAGAGGAACGCGGGCTCTGGAACGAGATTGCATTAACGATAAAAGTTATTAAAACATTAGAATGTGTACACAAAACATTTAATGAAAGAAGCATATTTCAGATATTTAAAATAGAATTCATAGATTAGTATTTTATCACGTCATGAGAAATGTTTCATGAAAATATTCTCTTCACGAAATATAGATTACCATCGCAGTAAATTCATAATAAAGGATTTATTTTTTCCATCAAAATCTTTTATTMAAATTTGACTGAACGTTGCATACCCAACACTTGGAACATCATACAAAATGAAAAATACACCGCGTGTTACTTTGCCATAGTATATGCATTCACCCAATAAAA